TGCCTCCATATCAAGACTTTTCCTAGGTCTAGGGACACCTTATGGCCAAGTGACTCATGTCTCTGGCTCTCTGAGGCCCCTCTCCCTGCAGCATCTGAGAGCCATTTACCATTTTAGTGCAGCTAACCTTACCCCATCACTACCACAAAGGAGCAGAGGTTTCAGCTGCAGAGCATAAATGAAGAACTGAAGGACATAACGCACTGAGCCAGAACTCATAGGAAGATTACAGTAGGGTAGGTAAATGGATGCTTGCCTCCCAAATTAGCTTCCTTGCTACTAGACTTCCTTTGCCTTTCTTTCTTCCAGAAAGACTGACAGGCACAGGAACTTTTCAAAGGAAAAAAAGCCAAAGTAACTTCTGAAAAGAGTGTGTCCTTTTTCTGTTACTAGTGGAATCTCACAAAAACACATTAACATGTTTTACTCATTAGGACTCTACTGGCGTCTCATGGAAAGCTCTAAAAACATTCTTGAAAACAATTCAGATTTTCTGGTTTGTTCTCTCTTCCACTTTTTAAAATTGCTGAAGATATCAGCGCAGAAACAGTTACTACTCAGTCCTCACCTACTCACTCCATATGGAATACAGTGAGGTCATGTTCTTATTGTCATCTCTATAGCAGCTAAATGGGATGTTATACATCAAAGGGAATGATATAATACAGGATACTGAGAAGCAAAAAAGATGAACTCATGATAGTACAAATCTTGTTGATATTCAGGCATCTTTAAATCTAAGGGACCACAGAAACAAACCAGATACAATAAATGGGAACATGCCTAAAAGTACACTTTGAGTACAAAATTTCCCTTGAATATTTAACATTTTTTAGATGTGAACACACAAACAGGGAAGCTGGGTGCAAATACCACATCAACCTATGCTGGTTCTTCCTGTAGAGTCTCATCATTGTAATTTAATATCCTGCATAGTACATGAAAATACAGCGGCATCACTGGCAATTAATGTAACACACTTTTTTTTTCCACAGTGAAAAATACCAACGATTGCCGTCCATTATCTGCAGGTTTTATTATACTCTAAATAAATAAACCAACCTGAAGAACTGCCTTCCAGAAAAACAACAACGTGATTGCTCATGGAGATGACCAGACAATTGGGCTAAAAGTGTCATTTCTAATTCTGGATTGGTTCCACACCCAGGACATATCTTTCCTAGACCAGGCACATTACTTGAAAGACCAGCAGACATCCAGCTCTAACTTTGCTTACCCAACAACTTCTTCACTTTATTATTATCTTTGTTTCCAGCATACTGGATTCCTTCACCCCATATATTTCAGGGCCCAAAGGGAACTTTCTAATGCAAAAATTACCTTTACATTGCCCATAGAACTTTCTTTAACCCTTCCCATCACAAAAGAATCCTAACATGAAAATGCAGGAATAGAGTAAGGTATTTGAAAGCGTAGAAGAGGAAGCAGAGAAGTGCCAAATAAGTCTGAAGACTGAGCCTGGCTGTGAGTTACCGAGATTCCTGTCCCACTAGTCCTGAAGCCTGGGCTGTCAACATTGCATAGGGAAGGTTCGATTACCTACAAAACAGCAGAACTATACAATCCAGGACCAACAGTTGAATAATACACAACTGAAAATCACAAAGAAAGAACTTTCTAGTTGCTTGCTGCAGTGGAGGCAATACCAGTAGGTTTCCCTCTACAGCAGCTGCACATAAAAACTGCTCACCATCTGAGAAAACTCAACTGTTAGACCTCAAGATGTATAGTATCTCTTGCAATTTCTTAATACTAAGATAAGGTTAAGTATTTATCGCCAACAAACCTGGAAAGATTTTAAGAGCAACAACTGTAGACACATTACAAACCCAGTTAATTTGCGTATATATATTTTAATGCATATCCACATATTAACCATAAGCATATCTATCTTTTAGATTGAGTTGGATCTGGAACATTTCAGTAGACAAAGATGTACTGTATGTGCATGTGATTTTTTTTTATATACAGAGAGAGAAAATACAAACCAAAATTAAATGAAGATGCATTTATTCTTGCCAATATGGGAGGAGACAGAACAGCAGTTACGGAGCAAGTATATTAGTGAAATTTTTAGAATTGTGCCTACAAGCCCCTTTAGTCTTGCAAAGAACACAAAACCATATTTAACGTAAGGAGTTGCACTGAAAAGAGTGAAGCTACTCACAGACTGAAAGATAAAGGAATGTTGTCTTTTACAGAGACTTCAAACAACTGTGCTTATCTCAAATGTTTGGGGTTTTTTTGTAAACTTCTGGTCTTTTTAATAGGATGCAAGCAGAATTAAAATGAACATTAAAAATCTGGAACCAAATGCAAATCGGCTCAATTTTATTCCATGAAAAACACAAAAGATTCAATTCCTAGATATTTCTTATTTGACCGAAAATGAAATCATACAGAATATCGGTTTCATA